AGCACTCTTGTACTGGCTAAAGTGCGCACGCTCAGAGGTAGGTAGGTGGCGACGCACAGCAAGACGTGCAGCAGCATCGCGCGTGGCCCACTGGGAGCGAACAGTGGCGTCAGCAGCAGCAGCGGGGCCAGGAGAGGCACCAGAAGTGAGGTCAAAGAGGGAGAGGCCGTCTGCCCTGTCACACTGTAAGAAAAGCTGCAGGTCATCTATCCAGACGTCAAAGTCAATGGCCCGACCCTCAGCGTCAAAAGCGAGGACACTAGGGGTAGCCATGACAGCAGTAGACTAGCAGCGCAAACAGTAGGGTGAGGGCAGTGCTGTGAAAGGGGCGCTGCTCTTACCGGACAGGGAGGCTCGGGTGGCTCGGCTGTAGGGCGGCTCGGCGGCTCGGTTGCTGGGCGGCTCGGCGGCTCGGCTGCTGGGCGGCTCGGCGGCTCGGCTGCTGGGCGGCTCGGCGGCTGGGCGGCTTGGCTGCTGGGCGGCTCGGCGGGGCCGCTGAGAGGGCGGCGTCCGGGGCCGCTGGGAGGAGGCGGCGGGGCCGCTGAGAGGAGGTGGCGGGGCCGCAGGTAGGTGGCGGGGCCGCTAGTAGGCGGCGGGGCCGCATGTAGGTGGCGGGGCCGCTGGTAGATGGCTGGGCCGCACAGGCAAGTGGCGGGGCCGCGGAGGTAGGTGGCGGGGCCACACAGGTAGGTGGCGGGGCCGCGGAGGTAGGTGGCGGGGCCGCACAGTGAGGTGGCGGGGCCGCGAAGGTAGGTGGCGGGCCCGCACAGGTAGGTGGCGGGGCCGCGGAGGTAGGTGGCGGGGCCGCACAGGTTGGTGGCGGGGCCGCGGAGGTAGGTGGCGGGGCCGCACAGTTAGGTGGCGGGGCCGCGAAGGTAGGTGGCGGGGCCGCACAGGTAGGTGGCGGGGCCGCGGAGGTAGGTGGCGGGGCCGCACAGGTAGGTGGCGGGGCCGCGAAGGTAGGTGGCGGGGCCGCGTAAGGTGGCGATGGGCGCGACGGGCGCGACGGGCGCGACGGGCGCGACGGGCGCGACTGGCGCGACGGGCGCGACGGGCCGAAAGGGCGGCGCGAAGGGCCGTAGGGGCGGCGCGACTCGGGCCGGAGCAAAACGCGCTCCGGGCAGGAAAAAAATTTCGTGGTGGTTCCCACTAGGGAACCTGCTCGATACCATGAGAAGAAACGAGGAATGAAATGACTAAGTGAAAGTTGGGTACAAAAAGCAAACCCTAGAAAACTGTACCCCATATGTGCCACCCCACTATAGCCTACAATAGCTATGTCATATAAATCTGACAGATTACGTATGACATGTGGGCATCTCAACCCTAGGCAGCTCAACCTTAGATAGCAACCACCTTCATTATGGGGCATCGCTGACATGTATACGCTTGCGATGGTGTATTACGCATCCCCCTTCTCTCAACCGTTGTTAAGAGGCGAAACCCATCTCGTTGCATACATTGATAAGAGATGCTGTACTGTAAACACGTGCTATTACGCGCATGAGACGCCAACAAGAAAAATGTTTGGGATTCAACAATGAATATCTGCGTAGCGGGTGTGTACCCATATTTACGTGCACAAACCAAGTTTGGAGACGCATGTGATTCACCATGATGTTTCCACGGCATTGTGCCAAAGGAGCGTCCGTTAACAGCGCCTAGGTGGCGGCTTACGTGACGACGACTTCATTCGAAATACTTTGAAAATAATAATAATCTCATGGTAATATCGAACACCAAATTGCATTGGTGACACTCTCCGTTTAGATACGCAACTTGATTTGAGGGGATGTTAAACCTCTGGTCCAAGCATGGGCGTGTGCATGCAATGGATTTATCTCTCCGAGGACGATAAAATACCTTCCGGTTCTTGAATATACAGATTGGCGCCTTGTTTCGTTAATCAAATGTGGATATGTTGTCGTACCATTGAGCGTGTAGCCATGCATTCTACTCGATAGCCCAATATTACAACAAGAACCTTTGTGACGATTGCGCCGGCGCGCCGCTAGGCCAATGCCCAAGACGTGTAAGACTTTGCCAAAAGCAACATTTTTTGCACAGTTCTAGGTTTGTCAAACGTCAACAATCTCAACGTAGAAGCGTCGTTGTACTGTGATTGACAATATGATAATGGTAAATTGAACGTTGCCAACATTTCCCCGACTACCAATACGGTAGTTGGAATTGTTAGAGTAGGGTAGGAACACAAGGAATTGACCGCAGTCATTAGTAGTCTTGACCAAGTTGTGCACGATTGCAACATAGCTATGGAAGAACTTCATAGTTCCGCAAACTTGGTCTCACTCAACCAACAAGCTAGAACTTGATTACGCATGAGAATGGCGACAAAAACTGCGTAATGCCAAATGATTGGTACTAGCACGCTGTTTCGGCCATATCAGCGCGAAAACACATGACTATCGAAGTACGGTAGTGGGAGAGCCATTGAGGGCAAATCACAGTAAGCCGGACACGGCTCTATTGGCCGACCGACCATGCGCACATTTTTTTTTTTTTTTTTTTTTTTGCAACCGGGCATCACTGAATGAGCGTAAACGCAAATATGCGCGGCAACTTTTGACGAGACTATTCGTGCAGTGCACGCTTGTCGTGGAGGACAACAGGAGGAAGCTTCATCGCCGTACTTCAAACAGATAAATATCTCAACACTGTTGTTGAGCTTTCGAAATTGCTCAGCTCATCTCCCGATAAAGGGGCTTACCACAAAACGTAGCCCTAGCAATTGGCCAATTTTCAGGCTTGTCTTTCCTTTAAACATTGAGTTAGACATACGGTAGAGTCGTATGCGTTGCATGACAACTAGTCGACGACCATGCAAGTTTCTTGCATAGGGTCATACGGCTATCTTGAGGCCATAATGGTTTGATATCATAATCTGCATAGGCCCGTGGCCTTAATAGGGCCATCCCAAATCTCTTAGTAGGCCATAATATTTTGAAAATGTCATGATCTTAATCGGCCTCTTGTCACCACAATTTATGTCTTGTCACCAATAGCGATTTGTGTTTAGTGCAGCACCAGCAGCAGAAGCAGCTCAATTTTTTTCAATGGCTGCTGTCCCCGCCAGCCATGGAAGAAGCACTGGTGGCGATCTAGATAGTACCCGCAGCAGATCGCGCGACACTTGCAGCAGATCGCGCTGCACCACCAGCAGATATCGCAGCAGCAGCAGCGGATTTCGAGCGCCAGCAGCAAATCTCGAGCGCAAGCAGCATATCTCGCAGCAGGAGCAGATCCCGCAGCTACACCAGCAGATCTCACGCGTCAGCTGCAGATCTTGCACGCCAGCAGCAGAATCTCGCGTGCCAGCAGCAGAATCTCGCGTGCCAGCAGCAGAATCTCTCGCGCCATGAGTAAATCTCGAGCTCCAGGAGCAAATCTCGAGCCCAACAAGAAATATCCGCGCCAGCAACAGATCTCCGCGCCAGCAGCAAATCTCGCGCGCCAGCAGCAAATCTCGAGCGCCAGTAGCAAATCATGAGCACCAGCAGCAGATCTCGATGCTGCAACAGTAAATCGCGAGCTCAATAGCAGGTCGCGATCCCGGCAGCAGATTTCGCAACAGAAGAAGATCGCGAGCACCGACCTCAAATCGCGGAGCGATAGTACCAGTTCTCGTAGCGGCAGCAGCAGGTCGAGTGGGAGCAGCGGCAGACCTCAGCGGTTGCGTAGCATCACCCATAGCAGGATCTCGTAGCAGCAGCAGAAGGCCCCTGAAGCCGCAGACAGCAATAGCGTGAAGAAGGAATGTCCGCAATCTCGCCATTTGCACCAGCGTCTCGCTACTAACGTACTTCGCGAGTTGCCATGAACAACTACTATAAACTCGCCGCCGCAACAACGTCAAGAAGTGACGATCTCGTCATATGCAGTGAAACGAGGGGCAGGATAATCATAGTAGCAATGGCGGATGAGTAGTAGGGAAGGGTGCGAGGTTTAGGTAGGTGTGCTGTTCTAAAGTAGATCTAGAAATGTTTTCTGGACTAGGTGGCAGGTCCGTAGACCTGCCACAAGATAAGGAGCGATAGACTCCTTACTGCATTCTCCTTTACGTGTATTGTCATAATCTTTAAATTTCGAAATTTATTTCAAAATTTGTCATATTATCACGCATTCGCGTCCATCAAGAACGGCCATACCTCGTGAAGCGGGAAGGCGGGGTGAGCAGCTTCCCCCGTTAATGGCCAACAGTGCGCGAACCACATCGATCAGCCATGTGCCAGACGAGCTCCTTTACATAATAATCTTACTTGCCACGACCGCCTCCACCGCCGCAAAATCGACAGCAGAACTTGGAGCCGCGGACACTGGCGAGACTGACTTCACGGTCGGCCGCAACTTGAGCAACCTCGCGGCTATTTGTAAGCGATGGATGCTCCTGATGACGACCCTGCGCGTCCAAGGCGGTTTTAAGTCACACTCCGAGTCCGAACTCCGCAATACCGAGCGGCTCGCGATGCCGCTTTCCTCTCCCTCGATCTCCGCGCCGACACTCTTCCGCACGCCGGCGCTCGCGCCGAGCGACACGGTGCTTTCTCTGGAGGCGAACGCCGTCGATTTCTACGATGACGAGTTCCTGTCTGGCCTGCTCTCCGCGCGCCCTCAGCTCGTTTGTCTGAGCCTCGCCCCCCCCCCCCCCCGCTTCACCGGAACGCCCCACTTTCGAATCGGCACGAAAGCTATCGAGAATTTCTTCCGCGTCGCGTCGTCGCGCCTGTAGGAGCTCTCGCTGCGCGAATGCTTCGGCCACACGACGAAGCTTCCTGCTTCCGTCGTGTCGCTGTCGTCGCTGCGCGTGTTCCGCCTGTTCTCCAAGGTTCTCCGCTCGCTGCCCGACGAGATATGCCAGCTGTCTGCCTTGCAAGAACTTTACCTTCGCTGCCCGTTGCTGCAACAGCTGCCCGAAGTTTTCGGGCGAAAACTTCGGCCGGCTAACAAGGCTGGAGCACCTTTCGTTTACGGACTGCAAGGAAATGCGGCGTTTGCCGGACTCTATCGGCGACCTCTCCTCGCTCACCTCTCTCCACATCGACGGCTCGTGGCACGTGGATCGCTTCCCGCCTCGCGTCGGCGCGCTGCAGCAGATGCGGCGGCTGGACCTACGAAACTTCAACGGAGCGTTACCAGACGCATGCGAAAAATGGGCGAAACTCGAGCAAGTCACTCTGGCTTCGTGCGCCGACATGCGCACTCTCCAGCTCGCGTCCATGCGCTCGCTCACGCATCTCACCATCAGCTTCTGCTGGAATCTCCCGTCGCTCCCTCCCAACCTGCGCTTCGCGTCGGCGTTGCGCCATCTCACAATCAACTATCTCAATCCGATCAGCGTGTCCCTCGAGCCGCTAAGCCAGCTGGTATCTCTGGAGTCGCTGGAGATCTCAAGCGCCGATCTAGAGGAGCGCTTTCCGGTGGGGCTCTTCGCGTTGCCGTCTCTGGCGCATGCGGACTTGGGGTACGTCATGTGGTTGGAGCCTCACAACGTGACACGCATGGAGAACTCGAGGGAGCTTGCGGATCTTCTGGGACACGTCGCACGAAATCACCCGTCTGCCGCCGCCGTCGCCGCAGACACGGCCTCAGCAGCAGCAGCGGGAGCAGCAGCCACGGCAGCAGCCACAGCAGCAGCAGTAGCAGCAGGTGCTCGAGATGCCACCAACCACACGACACTGGGTCCGTCTCTGAAGCATCTCAGCATCTACTTGGGCAGCGTGGGGTACGGCAGGAACGGCGGCGGCAGGCTCAGGCTCTCCGCGCGTGTGTGCGCACTGCTCTCCCTCACGCACCTCCTCATCGACGGGCTCTCCTCCTCCGCCATACTCCCCTCCGACCTAGGCCGTCTGCACAACCTGCGCTCGCTCTCCCTCTATGGCTCCTGGCTCTGCCTCCCGCACTCGCTCTCGCGCCTCGCCCCGTGCCTGCACTCGCTCTCGCTGCACTACACCGGCGACAAGGACGCGGACACATTCCGCCGGGAGCTGCCTTCCTTCCTCTCGCGTCTCACCTCCATCGCGCACCTTCACCTCCGCAACATGCATGGCCCCTTCCCCCCGCCCTCCTTTGCGCGCCTGCGCGCCCTCCGCACGCTATGCATAGAGTACGACAGCGGCTTTTCCAGCCACGTGTCGCTTCCACAGGACCTCGGCCAGCTGGCAGCCTTGGAGTGGCTGGAGCTGAAAGACTGCTCCGTGGGAGCGGGGCTTCCGCATGTCAGAATGAGTGAAGTGATTGATCTAGGAAGGTTGGGGATACAAGTATGAAACCCTAGAGTATTGTACCCCCTAAAGGCTAACCCACTGTAGCCTACACAGCAGTAACATATATAATGTTTGACACACCCCCATAGGCGAAGTGGGGGAGAGCAAGGGGTCACAAGACCAGTCAAAGCAAAGCACTCAAACTCCTCCTGTCTGTCCTCGAGGACGTCCGTGCCAAGAGCACACTCACCCCCGACGGACGGAGGACAGACAGACTCAGACTCAGCAACAAGGCTAGCGACGTAGTCTAGACGACAGGCGGCAGCAAAGTCAACAAGCTCAGCAACTAGAGCAGATGCAGCAGTGGACTCAAAGGAAGGGTCAGTGACAACAGTAGCGAGAAGACGCGTGACAGTAGGACTGGCAGCACGAGCAAGGTCTGACGGCGGGTCAGCAACGTCAGGAAGAGAGGACGCAGGAGGAGACGGCAGAGGGACACGCTGAGGAGCAGTGGAAGGACGCAGAGTCATATAGTGTGTGCCAAGGACAGGGGGAGGACGCTGACGCGGAGCACGACGACCAGTGCGGACAGCGCGAACTGACGACTCTGGACGAGGCTCAGGCAACTCAGGACGAGACTCAGGCGACGTTGGACGAGACTCAGGCTCACGACGCTCCGTAAGACCTCTAGTCGGCCCAGCGTAAGGAGAAGGACCAGGCGGTGGAGAGGCAAGCGGAAACTGTGACTGCGACTGGACAGGTGGTGGACTCAGTAGGGGAGGAGAAGGACCAGTGGAGGGCGGGAGGCCAAGAACCTGCTGAAGGAGCGGAACGTAGTACGGTCGCGGCCGCTCAGCACCTCCTGAACCAGCAGAGGCAGCACCAGCACCCTCAGCCCCAGGGTCTCCAGCGACAACTCCCGCAGCACCACCAGTAACCCCAGCAGCTCCAGTACCTCCAGTACGAGCACCTCCAGAACCAGCGGCTCCAGCAGCTCCAGCACCAGCAGCACCTCCAGGAGCACCTGCACCAGCAGCACCTCCAGCAGCACCAGCAGCACCAGCAGCGCCTCCAGCAGCTCCAGCACCAGCAGCACCTCCAGCAGCTCCAGCACCAGCAGCACCTCCAGCAGCACCACCAGCAGCTCCTGCACCAGCAGCACCAGCGCCAGGGTCCGCAGCACCAGCAGCGGCTCCAGCTCCAGGGTCCTCAGCACCAACAGCAGCTCCAACTCCAGGGTCCTCAGCACCAGCAGCAGCTCCAACTCCAGTGTCCGCGGCACCAGCAGCAGCTCCAGCTCCAGGGTCCAAAGCACCAGCAGCGCCACTCCGGAGACTGCAGCGCCGAGCGTACCACTCTCGGAGCCGCTGGGGAGAGGGCGGCTCCCGCCTAGGCGGGGAACCACTATCACCAGCTCCAGCAGCACCCCTAGCCCCAGAAGCGCCCCTCCTGAGGCTGCAGTACCGCGAGTACCACTCATGCAGTTGCTGTGAAGAGGGAGCGCCTCCAGGCGCCGTACGGTCAGTCACAGCACCCCCAGGCTCAGTACCCTCAGACGTAGCACTCTCAGGCTCAGCACCCCCAGACTCACCAACCTCAGGCTCAGCACCCCCAGGCTCCGCACCCCCAGGCTCAGCACCCCCAGGCTCCGCACGCTCAGGCTCAGCACCCCCAGGCTCCGCACCCCCAGGCTCCGCACGCTCAGGCTCAGCACCCCTAGCAGGACGAGAGTCGACAGCTACCTCGACAGGCTCAACCGGGTCTACCTGGGACACACCTGAGGGAGCGGCACCCTGAGGGGGGAGGGGGTCTACCACAGCAGCACCTGGTGCGAGGAAGAGAGGCGGGGGGGGGAGCGGGGCAGTGCGGTAGGGGAAGAGGCGGTAGTAGGGGACCGACTCGTCAAAAGTGACGTCCTGAGAGGGCAGGACACGGCGCGAGGTGGCTGTCAGAATATGTTGTTTGTGTAGCCTGCAGTGGGGTACTCTATAGTGAGTACAGCCCCTTAGGGTTTGCCATTTGTATCCTGCTGCTTGCTAGTTCAATCATTCCTTCTCAATTCTGTTCCTGCACACAATCCTAGCTCGTACTTGGCTCCTCGTTACTAGTCCTACTGTGGCCTAGGCTACTAAGCCTAGGCCGTACTCCTACTACTTCTGACATGGTATCAGAGGGCGGCATGTCTGCCGCCTTCCTGTGTATGGGCCCACCACCCGCTTCCGCTGCCGTACTGTCCGCCGCGCGCCCCGTGGTGCGCGGCGGCGAAACCCTAATTTCTGCCCGCCGCGCGCTCGGGGCGCCTGGCGGTTTTCCCTTCCGTGGCGCCCGTCGTGGTGCCCTTGGGGGGGCCTCCGCGGTCCCCTCCCGTCGAAGCGCCCGTCGAGGCGCTCTCGGGGACCCGCGCGGCCTCCCCTCCCGTCGCCCGTCGAGGCGACCTCGGGGACCCGCGCGGCCTCCCCTCCCGTCGCCCGTCGAGGCGACCTTGGGGGCCCGCGCGGCCTCCCCACCAGTCGCCCGTCGTGGCGACCACGGGGGCCGCGCGCGGTCCCCTCCCGTCGCCCGTCGAGGCGACTTCGGGGGCCGTGCGCGGCCCTCCCCGTCGCCCGTCGAGGCGACTTCGGGGGGCCCGCGCGGCGCCCTCCCCGTCGCCCGTCGAGGCGACTTCGGGGGGCCCGCGCGGCACCCTCCCCGTCGCCCGTCGAGGCGGCTCTGGGGGCTCGTCGCGGCGCCCTCCCTGGTGCCCGTCGCGGCTCCCCGGGGGGGGGCCGCGCGGCTCCCTTCTCGTCGCCCCTCGGGGCGCCCTGGGGGCCGTGCGTTTTCCCCCCCCCCCCCTTCTGCCTTTCAACTGCGGCGGCCGCCCCTGGAGCCGCCCGCCACTGCAGCAGCAGCCCCTGGAGCCGCCCGCCACTGCAGCAGCCGCCCCTGGAGCAGCCCGCACCTGCAGCAGCCGCCCCTGGAGCAGCCCGCACCTGCAGCAGCCGCCCCTGGAGCAGCCCGCACCTGCAGCAGCCGCCCCTGGAGCAGCCCGCACCTGCAGCAGCCGCCCCAGGACCCGCGCGAGCCGCCTCTGCAGAAGCCCGCCCCGTCCCCCCCCCCCCCCCCCCCCCCTCCCCCCCCCTTTTTCGTCTCCCACTGCTGCAGCTGCCGCTGAGGGGGGTGGAGGTGTGGGAGTCGTGGGGAGTGGCACTAGGGGGGTGATGTGGGAATGGAGCTAGGGGTGAAACAGGGGGTGTGTGAGAGGGGTGTGGGACTGTTGGGGGAGGTTGAGTGGAGGCTGCTGTCTTGTCGTCCGCAGCACCTGTAGTCCGGGGCGCACTGTCCTGGTAGCTCAGAGAGCCTGCTGCACCTGTTGCTCGTGGGTCCGTTGCTCCTGCCGCTCGTCGCAGCCGCAGAGCCTGTTACTCCTGTATTCCGGGACGCACTGTCTCGGTAGCCACTGAGAGCCTGCTGCACCAATCGCCCGTGGGTCCGTTGCTTCTGCCGCTCGTCGTAGCCGCAGAGCCAGTTACTCCAGTATTCCGGGGCGCTCTGTCTCGGTAGCCACTGTGTCAGCCGCCACTGTGTCAGCCGCTTCTGTTGCCCGTATGTCTGCAGCTTCAGTCGTCGCCTCCCATCTTCTCTCCTTTCATAGTCCCTCCTCCTCCTCACTTGCCCTCTGTGATAGCCTCTAGCTTTGCTGATAATTATGAACTATTGCTATGACTGCTCATTGTGCTGATTACACCCCACTTTGGCTATGGGGGTGTGTCAGAATATGTTGTTTGTGTAGCCTGCAGTGGGGTACTCTATAGTGAATACAGCCCCTTAGGGTTTGCCATTTGTATCCTGCTGCTTGCTAGTTCAATCATTCCTTCTCAATTCTGTTCCTGCACACAATCCTAGCTCGTACTTGGCTCCTCGTTACTAGTCCTACTGTGGCCTAGGCTACTAAGCCTAGGCCGTACTCCTACTACTTCTGACAGTGGCGTGGTAAAACTGCCAACCAGACGCGTCGGGGACAAAGCCAAGGAAGACACAAGGAACAGCGCGGGAGGAGAGCTTGTCCGCGGACGCATCGCGGACAAAAGCACGAGATCCCCAGACCCGGAACACTGACGCATCGCCAACCTCTCCCGTCCAACGCAGTGTCGGCGAAGTCTCCGGAACGGAGACACAGGGCCAGAGGTTGAGCTGATGCGCAGCGTATCGGACCGCAAACGGCCACAGAAAGTGGGGGGCAGCTGCATGGATCAAGGAGGTACGAGCGACCTCCATGACCAAGACAATGCGGCGCTCAGCAACCCCATTCTGCTGTGGAGAGGCCGGAAGCGTGAACGACTGCTCAATGCCCTCCCCACGACAAAAGTCCCGCAAGAGGTCGGAGGAAAACTCCCCACCTCTGTCAGAGTGCAGACGCAGTACAGGAAGGTCTGAGTGGAACCTCTCACTGAGCTGGAGACGGGTAGTGCGGATCCAAGGGATCAAAACATCAGGGACTTCACCCTTGGTGCGCAAGGGGAAGACCGTGGTGTAGCGCGAGTAGTCGTCAACAACTATCAAGAAGTACCTCTCGTGACCCTGTCCACGGACGCGGGCTGGGCCCCACACGTCCATGTGGAGGGTCTGCAGGGGAGCAGTCGTCGGGTGAAACGAGGAGGAGTGAGGAGCGGCGCGCTGCCGCCCCTCGACACAGGGAAGACAGGGAGGAGCAGGCGAGGGTGGGAGGGGAGGGAGAACCCTGGGAAGACCAGAGACAAGGTACCGGGAGTGCATGCCACGAAGGCGCTGCACTGACGGGTGACCAAGGCGGTGGTGCCAGAGGACGGTCTGGTGCGACAGGGAGCGACACGAGCAGGGGGCCGACAGCTGACCTGACGCAGACGCAGACGCAGACGCAGCTACCTGGGGGGACTCAGTGGTCAGTGTGTACAGGTCCGACCCCGGCTGCCGAGTGAAGGTAGCCAGGTGGTGACCCGTCCGAGCACACGTGCAGTGTGTCACGCGCTCGAAGGCAGGGGTGAACTGTTGGACACCCCCGTCCTGGAGCGCACGACCCGCCACCAAGTTCGTAGAGAACGAGGGGAGGTAGAGACCTGACAGTGTGCCCGATGGGACCGCAGGACAAGGAAGGACAGTGGAGG